CCAAGATGTGTCGCGAGACTTTGGGGAGCCGGTCCCGCGCGGAGTCTCCGGCGTTACCGCGAGGTTTCCCCTCCCCCCGCTCCAGCCCGGCTCTTCTCGGGAGGAGAGCGGCGGCGAATTCTCGCGAGATCACGCTCCCCCCCTCAACACACCACTTGCGCCGCGTTGTCCTTTTGTTCGCCGCCCTCGCGAGAGCGCCCCGCGCGAGCGCGCGGCGAGACGCCTCTAGAAGGAGGCGGGCCCTGAGTCACGTGGGCGGGCGCCGCCGCCATCTTGTCGCTCCCCCCTCGGCGGGCAGTGGCGCAGCGCGTAATGGCGGCGCGGCGGGAGGAGGGGCTGCTGTGTCCAGAATACATCGGCCTCCTTGTCCCCAGTGCTGGCCCCGACACACCAACCTGCGGCTCTGCAGGCGTCAGAGCGTACCCTGTGCTTACTACCCAGCGGCACGTGGCTGTGAGCCCCTCATCCCAGGGTGGTGGGTTCCACTAGGCATTACACATACTCATCATCTCTTTCTCCAAGACCCTTAGCCATCAAACATACTGATATGCCAGAGGACTACCCTTATTTTCCATATAGTGTCAGTTCTGTCATCTATCTCGACACTCACATATAGTCCCACCTTGAATTCATCAGAACTTTGAGCCTGTAAGCATCGGTCAAATAGTAAGCACTAAACTGCCTGTCATTAGAAAATAGAGAAATAACCCCATTCCCTCCTATCACAGCCTGCTGACACAGAGAATAGTAAAGCTGCTTCCGTGAATCTGGGTCAGTAAAAGTACTGACAAACGTGCTTGGGGGTCGGGACACAGCCGGGGCTGTGAAGGAAAAGGACACGGGGTCTGACTGTTCTTGATCCACACACAGCATTTATTCCTCTGTTTCTCTCCTCCTCAGGCTCTTGCCTCTTCCAAGAAGAAAACCACAGGAAAGTGCATTCTCCAGGAGGATGATTCACCATGGGAGTTAAAAACAAGACAGAACTTTTCCACACTATTCATGCATTAAACAGCCCATCTTTGCCTAGGTTTTCCTTAAAATTTGAGCTCTAGAACCAGTCTTCCCATTGCAGAAATTGAGCCCCACGATTTTTACATCCCCAAACAAGTCCTTGAATGAGCAGCACATGCCCCTCAGAGACAAACTACTCAATTCTGTGATACTCTGGTCTTAAACATTAACCAGTCCTCTGCTTTCACCTTCCATAATACTTCTATAGCCAGCTACAGCTCCAGAGTTAAAGATTTATGCTTGTATTTCCTCCCCAGGTGTACCTATTTATATAATATAAAAGCTCACAGGTTTCTTCATTGAGGTTGCCTGACAGTTAAAAGTTTCTGTGTTTTTTAAGAAGATATTACTGGATGTAGGCCCAAATTTTGTTTTTTTGTAAAGTAACTTTCAAAGAATACTTTTTATTCCTTTTCTTCTTACAACTTTGCAGACAATTCTAAATTCTAAACAATTCAGCAGTTCCCTTCACATCCCTGCAAGGTCTGCAGTGTTTTACAAATAAGGGCATTGTTTGTGATAATTCATATGCACTAGAAAATTACATGAATTAATCTTTTGTGTGCAAGTTTTGGAAGTATCACAGCAATTTAAACCCTGATCCTGCAGTCAGGGAAGTCAGTTTTTGGGAAAGTCAGTTTTCCCTCCAAGTTGCCATCTGCACTAGGCAGTACTATTCTCAGTTTCACTTTTAATTCTCCCACAGCTGACTCAGATACATTCCCTGGAGGAAGCTGAGAAGCTCCTGAGCACTTGAGTCAAGACCAGAGTCTTGACAAGCCCTTCTCACTTTAAATTAAGCAACTTTTTGCCAATGGGCTCAACCAAAACTCCTCAAAACCTGACACTGCTGGGTGCTTGGACACTCAGTCCTTAAATCTCAGCAAATTCCTAAATCTGGTATTCCTTCACCTGCAGAGTCCCCTCAGGCAGGCAGTCTGAAAGGCAACACTGATAGCTCCAAAGCAGCCAGAAATGCAGCTTTGTGAGTCTCGAGGATGTTGCCTTGGGAAGCCAATATCACCCTCTGCCACCAAGCCACGTATGTGTGTTGTGAAGTCAGTGTGTTTATGGAGTTATATCTGACTTTCAGAGTGTTTTTACCCAATGCTGACAGACACTGACCTTGTGTACACGAGTTTCCTTATCCATTTTGAAACTATCAACAGGTCCTACGCTACTGACCATCTTAACAAGCAGATTTCTCATTGTACACAACTATGGACTCACTCCTAAGTATAGGAGGTATTTTATAAATGGTAAAGCAGCTCAGACATCCAGAGTGTGGTAAAAAATTAATCCTACCATGGACATAATTCTCAAGTTGCAGTAGTGAAGACTTGTTTCATGTTCTACACAGCTGCCTATGAGGCTAAGACCCCATACCACATTTTTGTGAGTCTTTCATACTTTAAGATAGCAAGGCAATCAAAATATAAATTTAACATTGTCCAACCACAAATTAGCAAAGGGATTTGGAAACAGTCTTTAGTCAACAGTGAATATCTCTCATTAATATCAGAGATCTGTATTTACCAGCATAATTTCCACATGCGCCTCTGATCAGTTCCCAAATTTCTGTGGACATTTTTAGGCTTCAAAAGGCAGAATCTTAGTGTGCAGGGCAAAGCCACTGCACTGAACCCAAGGATTACTAAACTGTGCCTGGACAGCTTTTGACAGAATATTTACAGAATACTCTATGCTGCAACAGTTTGTTCTATCACTGCCTTTGCTGAGTACACCTCTGTCCTCAGTCTTAGCACATAATGCCTTTAACTCATGTGAAGAATTAAAAGGCAATCTGATTAAGAGCTACTCTGTCCTTTGGCCAGTGTGCTGCCACCCAAGCCTTGCTGGTCCCCTTGTCTCTCCACACTCCCAGACTGGTAGGTAGAATGCACACAGTTGATTGGAGGGAGCTTAGTGAAGAGCAGATTTATGATGATTCTCTGAAGAGATGCCTAAAATTTGTTTTCCGACTTCAAAGAAATTCTCATCTTCTCCTGAAAAAAACCACAAAAGACTGTTTAGAGAAAGCAGAGACCCTTAGCTGAAAGGAGAGACAGAATTGGGAAGTTTTATAAGCTATGACTCTAGAGCAGGGATACACACAAAACATTTAGTCACTTCAAACATACACTAGTCCTTATCTGAGGCAGCACTCAAGGCCTCTCTCTAATGATTTAGTGACACAATCAAGTAGTCAAAGGCTTCTGTGGGAACTGAGGAAATATAAGCATAGTTTTGTTCTTATTCTTGTTATGGGAGGATCAGACACAGGGGAAAAAGAGGCCATCAATGTGGACTCCGACTTTTAGGGGATGGAAGAGGGAATGTTTTTTGACTAAAATAACAAGGGTTGTTGTCCCGAATGAAAGAATGAATGGAGAGAATGTGGCAATTCTCTGAACATTGAAATTTTCTGAGTTGGGCTCTATTTTTTCATATCTTTAGATTCCTTGCTAGCTTGGATTTTAAAAACCTTAATCATTTTTATTTCTCTGGATTCAGATTTCTCTATCATCCCCACTGGACTCCAAATTATATTGCCTCCTTCTTTCACTCTCCAAGTTTATGCACTGCTTTGTCTTCCCAAATGCTGTTTTCCAAGTTCCAATTAGATTAAGGGCTTGTCTGCACAGGAAAGTTACACTACTATTAATTTGCAGTTTGCTTTAAAGAAATTATGTTAAACCTGGGCAGAAGGCCATGTGGACTCCCTGGTATTCCTCTGCTGGAATACAAATGGCTTATTTCAGGTTAGAGCAGGTCAATTAGGAACAGGAAGAACTTGCAAAGCAGTGCGTTTTCCTACATCAGAACAAGGAGTCCAGCAGCTCCTTCTGCAGATTGTAACCTCCAAATGGGAAGAAAGGCTGGGGGCATGGTCTTGACCTGTGCAGGAGCGACAATCTGCTGGACAGAGGTAGCACAACACCAGGTGACTGCTGCTGTCACTGCCCTGGCTCGGGCTGTGGAGCAGCTCTTGCCCACTGCAGCCTTTTTCTACCAGGACAGACCAACCCACAGCACTCACAGGACAGAAGCAGGGACTGCTGCCTCTGTGCAAGGTATTTGCTTCTACTCTGTTCATGTAGGTATTAAAAACTGAGTCCTTTGCCAAAAAAAATTACACTATAATGTTGTTCAGTACATCAAAGTCATGAGTATCCATCTACTGCCCCTCTTTAAATGAATGCCTGGAGTTAACTATTGGTTTATAAGTAGATTGTAATTTTATGAGTGTGCCTTTCTCTTGTAGGCAAGCCCAAAGAAGAGAAGATGAAGACAAAAGAAGAGAGACATTGCAGCAAGAAGAAAGGAAAGAGGCACGTCAGTAAATCTTGGATTCACATTCTCATTGTGAACTGGTTTGAACTAGTAAGCTTGTAATTGCCTAAATCAAAATAGGCACCTAGTCAAGATGGCTCCTGCATTAATCAGCATCAGTTATACTTTGAAGGAGGCACTAATGTTTCTCATTTTGATTTCTGTAAGGCTGTTCTAACTACCATTTCTAAATACGAAGAGTAACTTTTATGTTATGTAACATAAATGTAACATTAGAGTCTTCTTTGGAAGCCCTTCAGAGTGTCACTGATCAAATACCACTTGCCAGCGCTGTCCCCTCTGGTGTGCAGGGGTTTGACTTCAGCTGCCAGCTGTGAGCACCTGGCAAGGCCTGAACTTTGCAGATAATGGTTGTGCAATGTGGTGGAGCTGCCAGGAGTGCTTGGATTAAGAGAGTGGCCTCAGCCACCTGAGGAATGCCCCTTATTAAGTGAGAGGGTGACTCTGACAGCTCAGAAATGCCTGTGGGGTTGTCAGGGTCCTGAGGACACCCCCAGCTTCCCACAGCCCTGCCAGGAACTGAAAGGACAAATCATGAAGCCCATGAAGCAAACCCAACTCTGGTCTTTGGAAGAAAGTCCCTCTTCCTATTTTCCTCGCCGTTGCTGCAGTGTTGGTTCTGTCACTTGGCAGGGGAAGGTTCAGCAGCAGGGGAATGGGAGTGGTTTAGGGATGTGTAATACAAAGGTTGGTGGCCTGAGTTAATGTCACCAGGTTAGCAGGTCATCAAGACCACAGGGCATCGACCCCTGTCTCTCAGGGCATTCAGATCTGGAAGAAACGTGATTAGTCCTGATGACTGCCAGAGCTGAGACAGGTGGAGATACTGACAGTTCCAAAGAGCTACGAAAAGATATCCAAACCCTGAACATAGTCACCAATCCAAGAATAAGCCAACCCAGGTCTTCAGAGCTGGTGTCCCTTGTGTTCTCTATCACACCACACAGATCCTGGACCCATTAGCTAGGCACAAACTTCATGTTGCCTGGATTTTTGGTTAAATGGTTTAAACATGCTGGCCTGATGCCAATGGCTGCTCTTGTGAGTGTGAGAATATGAATGTGGCTGAGCAAAACCTGTTCTGTTTCTGTTTTTATTTTAATTAAATCAAATCACTTTCTTCCCCTTCTCCCCTCACCCTCATCTCTCCTAATGTTTTCTACCTTGTTTATGCCATGCTGGAGCAGTATTTCCTATAGAGGAACAAGGAGTAGTAAAGAGGACCCAGAAGCATAATCTTTCCGATGGCAGGAGAGAAAGAACCTGCCATCTGAAAGGCAGGTTTTATTTAAAAATCTACTGTCAGGAGAAAAGTCTCTCTTTTTCTAGATGGATCTTCAAAGGCCATCCTATCCTTCTTGCTGATTTTGGTCACCAGTGCAGGTCACACAGCTGGAGCTCTGGCCCACTCCTTTGTAAGAGGCTTAGCTCAGGCTTCAGTGTACTTATTGCAACCTTTCCACTTAAATAATTAAAGATAAAGGGTTTTGGAGACATCTAGTCCATGCCTTAAGACTAAATATATCCATCCACTCTGTTGGATGCTCATCAGACTGGATCTCCAGAATACCAACTGCATCCCCAAACTGGGGGAGGGCTCCCAACCCTGACTGGCTTCTCCTAAGGGGCAGGGCCCCAGGATGCTGTCACATCACCAGAGCTACTGCTCCTCAGCTGTGAGGAAGGAACTCCTGCTTCATGCTGAGACTGAAAAGCTGCTTAGTGAGCGAAGGGTTCCCGGCTCCTTTCAGACACCCACGGACATGGTGGAGCTGTAACCCTCCCACCCTTTTCCGAGGCAGGCAGCTCAGTGCCTGCAGTGAGGTAGGAGCTGCTGCTGCCTCTCTGTGAGACAGCAGCTGATGGTGGCTTCCCCATTGTATAAAAGACAGAAAAATGCTGCTGTTCAGCTGTGAGAAGTGGCTGTGCAGCTTGTTGTATGTCACCTCACTGTGGAGTAACTTCAGTCTTCATAGTAGACAGGAAGAATAGTTTATTTCCTTCCTCTTTACAGAGGATGCATGCATTTTATGTATTTGTGTGCTACTATTTTGCCCCTCTTCAGACTTTGCTTCTTGAGACTGAATTGTTTTTCATTGTGCCTTACAGTTTATGTCTTCTGAACTTCTTGTAGGGCAGCAGTTTAGCATTTAAATGAATGTAGTGTTTATGAAATGAGCTGGACTGACAGGCATGGAAATGGAGACTTATGTCTTCACAGATTAGATGCCACAGTGGTAGGAGGAGTGAGAACTCCATGCCTGCCTTGTGATCTGGAACATCTCTAGAGGCAAGAAAAGGATGTAATGATGAAATCCATCAAAGTGGTTCAGGTTTCCTCTTTAATCAGTAGCCTCTAGGCTGTTTCAGCCTGCTAGCATTCATTTGTGCCAGAGGTGGTGGTGGCTTTGTGATACGGACAAAGCATTGCAATAGCAAGGAGCTGTGTTAACCAGCTCATTTCACATAACCTACCGGCCTTGTGGGGGCAGAGCATCCATGCAGGGTTCATCTCTGGCCACATGGAAGGCTCTCCAGCCACACCAGTCACCTTAGGCCCCTGATATAGCCGTAGCAAGAAAAAGACACTGAGGTTATTAATCATCTCATCCTAAGGTAGATATTTAAAATAGATCAGATAAGACATATCTTTGAATTGCCTACAGGGCAACAGGCTCAGATGTATTGATAGACACTGCAGACATCTAAAATTAGGTGAGCTGAATCTCTCTCACCTGTGGAGTCAAACCAGTGACACACAGGTCAAAAGCCCCACTTCCCATGGTGAAACTTCAGAGCACATCTTCTGCCTTTCTGAATTTACAGCAACCTGCAAACAACCACCTGAGAGAATAATGAGGGTCTTCCACCAAGTGGCTGAATATTTTCACTGATTTTCAGAAATAAAATTTATTATATTTTTCTTTTTTAGTTTAGTGTCCAAATAGTCTAGAACAGGAATCATTGCTTTTTGACTTCACTCATGAAAAGCAAATGTTTGGATTAGGAAGCACAGATATTCATCATGGCTGTAATAATGATATTCTGCAGAGGGGAATTTTTATGTTGATTCATCTGATACAGTTGAACTGTAAAGATTTATCTTACAGATTCTTTGGCAAATAAGAACTTCAGAACAATGTTTATTTTTACTCCCACGGCATTTTTTGCCCCTTCTCTCATTTTTGTTCCTTAGCTAATAGCTCATTAATAAGGAAAAAGGTTCTTTTGATACCGTAGCACATCTGCTGACCCATTTCAGTGCGAGTGCATATATAACCACTTGTTTGTTTGCACTTCTACAGGTGTTACTGCTGTGCAGATATGGGCTGTGGTTAAATTTCATAATGGAAAATCTGACAGGCAGTTAACTAATCCATGAGTCATATTTCGTAATAGCCTAAAGGTCTCTGATGTTCGACCTTCATTTGATACCCTTGCCATCAGGCAGTTTATACATAACCCATCTGAAGAACATTCTTTATATAGATGACTGCATGCTGCCCTTTTATACCTGCAAGAATGGGCACTGCACTCACTGAGCCAGGGGAATCTGCTGGCTCTCTGTGAGCGGGACTGGAGAGCTGCACTGTGCCAGACTCACCTGGGGAATAGGGACAGTGGGAATCTCTCTGCTTAGCTTAAGCCTTCTGCAGGGCCTTGTTGAAAGGTGGGGAGAGGGGTGGGGAGCTGCTTTTGGACTCCACTCACCCTAACTGGACTTCTGGTTGGAACAACTCCAGTAATGAAAGTAGCAGTGGAACTTCCAGCACTAACAACTCTGCTGATTTCACCTGTGCGTGGCTCACTTCTGCCAGAGGCAGGAGAGACAGGGAATGAGACATCCTTTTGTCAGACCATCCCAAATGGGGATCCCTCCATTGCAGAGTCCAGCCAGCATTATCAATGCCAGGGTGCTAAAAGGAGCACCTAAAGTGGAGAAGACCCACCTGGACAATCATCCCCTTTATTTTCTAGCCAAAGGGTGAAAAAGCAGCACAGTGCTTACAAGGGGACCATAACATTATTGGCTTTCAGAACTTCTCAAGTCTCAAAGGCAGCAAAGGATGTTGGCTTTGCTGCTGTTTTCAAAGCTAAAATAAGGCAGACACATGACTTCAGTAACTGCATGTGAAGTTTACATACTGTGACTCATCGTAATAAAGAAACCTAAACAAAACCCCAGTGTGTCATTGAAGCTGGAATATGTTTTCCATACTAAATTCTTTTAGGCTTGCTTTGGCTTCTATTTTACAGATGTAGAACAGTAGAATATCTCAGGGATATTAACTCTTTGCTGTTGCAGGACAGAAAGTTCAGGTCTTTATGAATGGACCTATATAAAACACAGGAGAAGGTTATCTTATTTTTTTTAATCCTTTGGCACAACAACTTTTACAGCAGTGCCAAATGCTGGACAAGAGCAGCTGAGAAGACAAATGGAAAGAAGAAAGCAAAGGAAAAAGAAGGGTTGTATCCCAAGATTTAGCAGGCTGTCTCTTTAAGAAGCTCTGCCATTTCCAAGTGACTATTTTGTAATTGTCTGTAGGATAGCAGCAGGCACCAGGAGTGATGTATATGTAGCATGTGAGTTGCCTGCTGTATATGGAAAACTGCCTAGGGAGGGATTGGCACAGTGGGAGGGGGAGCATGACCAGGCTGGCTGCAGGCACCCGTGAGGAGGTTTGTCATCCTGCTGAGTCAACGGGAGACACAGCACCTCCAACGGGGCTTTTGCCTGCTGGGTGTTCAATGCTAGGCAGCTGAAGTTACGTGGTAGGAGCCTATAATGACAGGCTCATATGCATGGAATTCATTTTGCATGGATGATCTGGATTACCAGCTCCAGACCTCTTCATCTGGAGTAAAGCTGGCACTGGACTGGGCAAGGCTCACTGTGGCTGTTTCTCAGGGCTCTCCTTGCAGCCCTTCTCAAACCAATGCAGAAGGTAAGAAAAGCCCAAACAAAGATTTCAGTTGGATTCAGGTTCATTTCAGAGGGGCACTCCAAACACTCCAGTGTTTGGAGTCTGACAAGGGAGTTGCTAAAACGGGGTCAGGAGAAAGGAAAGGATTACACTGCAGATGTATCCACCCCACTGCCAGCAATTCTACCTCTGCACTCATCTCTGCCTTCCACTCTCATAGGAGCTGATTCTTGGCTGGTATTTTAATGGTGCGAATTCCTATTTATCAGCAGATGATAATAGTTGATACTTCTTATTGTATAGGTCCAGTTGTACAAGTTTCTGTCTAGTCAGTCACAAAATTTCTGGCATCTAGACTATTCCAATTAACAGGAGGAGTTAGGGTTTTTCCATCTTTGCAAATAACTTCCCAAGAAGTCATCATCAAAAGCTGCATAAACACACAGTTATCCTTGTCACACTCCAGGCCAAATGACAGTATAGCTAGATTCAGAAAGTCAAGAGAGGTTTTTCCTGAGTGGTACTAATTATATGGATAGTACTGAGATAAACCTGGCAGAAACAGTGTGGTTTAAACTGTAGACCTTTAGCCTTAGAGAACTTTCCGTCCTGTTCAACTACTCCCTTGTTCCACCAGCTCAGGCCACAGCCTCATAGTGCCTTACTGAAAGATTCTTGTTGCTGTCATTTAGGGTCTCAGCAAGAGGGAAATCCAAATCAAAATACAAATCCCACTGTCAGGACAGGGCTGCTGACACAAATGTAATATAATAAAATGCATTAAAGAGTTGTACAACTCTTGTCTGAAGACATCGCCCCCATCATGACATGTGGATCATGATATACATAACAAACTTCTGGTTTAAAGTGACAGGGTAGAGGAACTGTACTGTATGCCTGTTCTATGACATGCTGAACTCTTGCATTGGCTGAATTTTTGTCTTTCGAAAAATATTTTTTTTCAAAGTCACCTTAATATCAGAAGATCATTTTAATTTTGTCCATCTTTCCACTTTTCTATTGCAGTGTTGGCTGTAGTTAAACTTTAAAATGCAGGGACATCACTACGTGACATTTTTTGTGTCTTTTCCCAACAATATCTGGACTGAAAATTACTAAAAAGAGATACACATTTGCAGTTCTTTGTTTAGCTCCTCTGGCTTGTTTTCAGTTTTTTACAGTGTTTTCCAGGCTCTCAGTTTCACCTCCTGCTTTTTTTTTTTTTGGTTCCCTGAGCTGATGTGGTGTCTTTGATGCTGCAAAAGGGCAAGGTAAAGCATCAAAGGAAAAAAAAGGTAAAATACTGTGATAAAAGTGCAGGCATCACCCCAGGGGTTCATGTACTGAAACATCTTTAAAATTCTTCTTAAAACAGTTGGAAGCTGACAGTGTCCTTTTAAGGACAGTTTATGTTAAGAAATCCTGCTTAGTCTTATGAGCAAGTTTTGGCTGAGCACAAGTGCTAATGACTTTGAAATGAAAAACATTTCTAAAGACAAAAATAGCTAGTACTGAAATCTCTCACAGTCATTACTTACAATTTCTGTGTGCTCCCTTGTCCAGATTTATGATTGCTTGTCGTGCCAGCAGAACTTACAACTTTGTGTATTTGTCTTTAATGTTGTAATTAAAATCAGGATGATTTTCATGGGCCCTGAATAATTTGTAATGAGCGTTCTGTCTTTTAAGTGGCCTTACATGAGATGTAATCTTCATTCTCCTAAGCATGCATACACAATTTTCTTAATACTCATTGATATTTTCACCAAGGAATTGTGTACCTTTGGGGTTATATCAACCTGATGTGTTTAAGAACAATTTTCCCAGCCTTTCTCAAGAATTTATAATTTAAGTTATCTGGAAGTAAAACACTCCATTTTCTTCTGAGGGGTGCCTTCAAATAGCTTGTCTCCTTTAGCCCTTCTATGAGAGCTAAAGACATGCCCTTTAACAGTCCTTTCTTTCCTCCAGAACATTTTCCCTTTTGCTGCCCACCCACTGGCAACACATGCTGTGGACCCTGCAGTGGCTCCCCAGCATTTCCAGAGCTAGGCAGTCTGAAGATCAAAACCTCCTTGTTTTCCCTATTTATGGGACATTATGCAGTGTAAGCCCCAAAATCTGATTTCCTTCTAGTTCTCCATATTTACTGGAGAGATGGATGTTCCTTATCACGCAAAGAAAAGGCCAGACCAGCATCACTCACACACTCAACAGGGCAGAACTGTGTTACAGCAATAGTCAGTGAGGGGTAGTTTTATGGCATGGGTGCAGAGCTGGGTCCTCAAATGTGAATTTCTTCTTACTGGAACACACAGCTATTTTTGAAGCCTAAAATTTCATTAACAGGATTCCTCTATGGATACTTTGTCCTTTTAACTTGTCCTTAAAAACTCTTGTCCTGGGAATATCTCATGTAAGGTGTTTTGAGCTTTGAACCTCTTTGTGCCTTGTAGTATTAAAAACCCAGGGCAGGGAATGTTTATGTAGCACTGAGCACCATGGCAGCACTTAGTAAATAATGAAATAAATCGAAGGCTTTGTTTCTGTTTAAGTATTGTGTTTGCCTTCTGTGGATACAGATCTGGATCCTGCTCAGCAACCTCATTCGGGTGAAACTGGATATTGCGACAATGTTATTCCAGCTCCTTTAATGTATGGCAACTGTACAGACAAAGCACTGCCTAATGAAGAACTCAGAGTCCCCCATCTAAATGCTTTTTAGAAAAGCCAAAATCCATGGAATCTTCACGAAAAATATCCAGCAAGATTCTTAATTTTGATACAAATACACAATTTATGGAGAAAAAGCAAGAAGTGATTATCCAAACCGACAATTGCAGCATACAAGAACCATTAGGTTCCAAATTCACTGCTCCATCCCAGAATTCCAGACATGCACTGAAAATGCCAGGGCTGGGAAGTTACTCTGGCTGCTACAGAGCGGGTGCCCAAGCATATGAGAATCAACATAGAATTAGAAACGTGAAGAAAACCCTCACTATTTAACTGCTTTAAGGCACTGAGCAGAGAAAAATTGGGAAGACCAGAGTCACTGCATTCTATGATCCTGGCCTTCCAGACCACACAGGTGCAGAGGATGTGTGCTGCAGAGAGGAGATGTGAGTTTCCTTCAGAACAGCCTGGAAGCTGCTCAGGAATCCCAGCTCTTGGGACGTGTCTCAGAGAAGTCGTTCTGCGGTCGACTGTGCCTTGCTCTTCGTGTGTTTTTAATAGAAGCATTTAAAATAATTCCAAGATTGAGGCGTATACAAGTTAAACTTTGAGTAGAAGATGAAGAACAAATAGAGCCATGCTAAATTGGTTTCTGGTACAGCCTGACAGTATATTCAAGATGCTACCTAATCCCAACTGATCCCATAAAAAGTAATCTCCTACCACCAAGTCAGTCTTAAATTTGTAAGTGAGGTTACTACAGTCTCAGATTAATTGAATCTCTTTTCTATCAGGAATTGGCAAAGCCAAGAAATTATTTATGGCTAAATTAATCATATTTTATGTGTGCTATTTGTAATTCTCTATTCTGTTTACAAAATATAAGTAAATATAATCCCTATAAATGTGTAACCATGTAACAATTTATTGTGGAATACTAACACAATATTATTAATTATAATTATATAATAATATTATATGAATCAAAGGATTAATACTATTTGTCCATGACTTCATTAATGCAAAGTAAGCTGTACTAAGCGGCCTTGAGATGGGCCAAAAGATACAAAAGGACAAAATTCAACTCCAACAACCAGCAAACAAGGAGTTAAGGTACTATAAACTGAAGCCTCTACAAATCCAGAGTCAAAAACCTCTGCCAATTCTGGAATGGAAATTAAAGCCTGCTTCTACCACCAGGAAGTGACAGCAGCCAGGGGAAAATGGGAAGGGATAAAGGAATGGTGAGGTGAGAGACAAAGGCTAAATGACCATCAGGGTGAAAGATGAATTCACCGTCTTCAAATGAAGGCTGAATGCCCTGTGAGTCCTGATAGTCCATCAGAAGGGGTGAGCTCCAGCAGAGGCTCTCTTGGTCACAGCCATGCAGGAGACCAAGCTGGACAACCTGGGCAGTTTGGGATGTGCAGCTGGAGCCGGAGCAGTGTCTGTGCCTGCTTTGTGCCACAGCCCTGGGCCAGCAAGGGGCTGCAGGCTGCAGAGCAGTGAATTCTGCAGCTTGTGCTCAGAGCAGGAGCAAGACCCATGTGTGCTCAGCAGAGCCCAGCAGGCAGGGCTGGGGCAGGGGCTGAAGGCAGCGTCTGAGCACAAATCTCTGTGCAAGGGGAAAGGCAGATGGCTCTTTGCATGTCTGGGCTGGTGCAAATTCATCAGGCTCTGGGTTTGAACGGGAGCCAGGTACAGCGTACAAGTAACTCCTGTTTGCTGTGCTTGACCTAAATCCAAGTGTTGCTTTGTCAGGTTTTAACCAACACGTGTTCTGTTTGCCTCCCGTGTGGTAATGGTGCTGGAGCCTGGGTGTTAGCACTGGGAACCTGATGATTCAATCACAAAGTATGAGGGCTGTCCTGCAGCAACAGGGAGGAACTGGGGACACAGAGTCTTCCTGTGTGTTTTGTGGTGGTCAAAGGTTTCTGTTCACATCAAGAGAATTCTTATCTGGAAAGTTTCAAAGGGCTAAATATAGACCAGCCTCACATGCTAGATGGCAGTGAGGCTCTGCGAGCAGCCCACTTCCCTGCTAACAGTGCTCGTGGGGACATCATGCCATGTTTGTTTGTTTGTTTGTTTGTTTATTAAATAGTCGTTTTTCAGGATCGACATCGATCGCAGCCCAGCCCCGCAGCTCCACTGTTTCCCATTCTTTGGCAATGGGCCCCCCAGCAAGAATGCACAGCCAGCACAAGTGCTGGAGCTGCCCCAATCCTTCATCCTCACTCTCACTGGCCTGGGGGAAGACAGGAGTATTACACAAGAGGTCTTGGGGTGGTAAGATAAACATCTGCTATTTGAGACTCTGCCTTAAACCACCACATTGCCATGAATGACATGTTTTCAGTAGCAGGAAGCCAGGAATTACTCAATAGGAAGACTGCAGACTGCCAGCACTTCTGTGACTCCTGCCTCTGGCTGGGGCATGAGGGAAGTCCCCCTGGTAGGATGTGTGAGCACCAGCTCCCACTCACTGCAGATCCCCAGGTCCATGTGGAACAGAGCAAGTGCACTCTACCCACAGATGATCCCAAGGTCCTTTCCTCAGTGGGAGAACAGCCTTGGTGTTGAAGGCAGAGAGGGTGAAGGTGTCATCAGTGAGAAATGAGAAGACTACAGCAAACTGAGATTGTGCTGTGTAAATCCACTAGGGCCCCAATCATTGGATGTGAGATTTTTCCAGGCAGTGAAGACAATTTCAAAGATCCACATTTGAACTCTAACCAAACAAGCCATTAAATAAAAAATAAGCAGTAATGAAAAATAAAATCTGCTTGCAGAAGATTTCAAGAGAACGTGACAAAAGTGAATTTATGACAACATAGAATAGTCTATACCTATAAGCAATTATCAGCTTTCATTAGGGCAGCACTGCTGCCCTGCTGGGGGGTTTGTTTCCAGGACCCTGAGTGCATTTATAGCCCTTAGGAGCCCAACCTGGGATTCGAGGACCACGCCTGGCTCTGGAGCATGGCATGGAGGGCACTGCCCATCTGCTGTGCAGAGCACCCTGCTCCCACTGCTTCCTGACATGTAGCTAAAAGAATAAAACCAGAACCATCTCAAAAGCAGAGACTCTATGAATGCTGTCATTCTTGCAAAGCAAAATTAAAATTAGTGCTTCTGCAGAATGATAGACGTGGAATAATATGCCAAAAACTAATTCTTGAAAGAAAGAAAATATGGAAATATGTGCCTCCAGTACCTGAATCAAGGTCTCAGCGTACAATGGCACAGGCAGAGAGGCTGTACAAAATCTTTAGATATTTAACCACTTGTGCATGTTCCTGTGGGAAGGGAAATGACAGATTAGTTTTCCTGTGGAGGATTCATTAGTATGCTGTGATTGGTGAGTCAGTATTTTTAGCTTAGTGATCTCAAGATGTATTGTGGTTAGGCCTCAAAAGTTACCAACTCTGGGTAACAAATTAAAAAGGGGAAAAAATAAAAAGTGTGTTAGGAACAGAAGAGTGATTTTCCAAGCTCTTTCATGAACCATCCTCCTCACTTGTTTAGCATTAAGTGCCTATTAACTCCATTTCGGGAAGGTGGTGATTAAACTGGGTCAAATGGAAGTGATTAGCTTGGATTATCCCTGTCATGGAAAAATTCACTGGAAGATCTAAGAGGGAGGAAATTGCCACACAGATCCCAGCAACGTCTGCTGGAAGGTGGATGGATTTGCTTTTCTCCCTGCAGAAGAGCTTTGGCCCACACAGGATCCCTCTAGATTCCTCAGCCTTGCTTTGAATTGAATTGTTTTAATCTTGGAAAGCTCCTTAGGACTGGTAGGGAAAGCAGTTGTCTCAGCATTGCTCCCACTTGAATGTCACCCCAGGTTCTGGAGACACTGAAGCTACCTTTCCTCAGGGGTCTTTAAGGGATAAAAGCTTTCACTTCTGGTGCTAAAAATTACTAAGGAAATGTTCGGATGGACAAGGAATAATAATAACAACAACAATGACAACAACAACATGCCTGTTGAGAGGGCAAACTCTGCAAGGCCAGCAACAGGGCCCAAAATGAAGAAAATAAACCTTGTACTTGTGACTGGATTGAGAATTGGGACAACACAAACCCTGGCAAGCCTCTCCCTCAGCACAGTTATGTGATCCTGACACAGAGAAAGAAGGATTTTGTGACTGCCATGAACACTAAGAAATGGACAGTATTTTATTGCAGGGACTGATACACAGAGTTTCCTGCTGGCCAAGGGGTTGCTTCCTCCTGGTGACATCTCCCAGTGCTCCCTGCAGACCTGGCTCTGCTGCTCTGATTTAATGAGGTTTTCAGCTGTCACCATTTCATTGACCCCTCTGCCATAGCCCTTCACCTCTCTCGTGCTGTCACAGAAGTGCCCTGGGGAGACAGGAGAGTGCTCTGTGTGTGCACAAACAAACGTGTCTGTGCACCAACATGTGCCTGTGCTCACAGCTGCGTTCGTTCTATGTCGCGTATAGAAGAAAAGAGGATTATTTATGATCTAATCATGATGTGTTCCCCAAGCAAAACATTCTCTGCTCTGATTTATTGCTCACTTTAGGCCTGCCCCCAAGCATTGTTCTTATATTTGGAGCCAGTCGCATTTTTTTCCCATTTGGAAATGGAAATCCTAAATGTAATGGCATATTTAATGAAAAATACCCCGCCAGTTACTTGGAGGGAGGAGGAATTTTACTTCTCTGTTTTCCTGTTTTGTATTTGTTTTCTTTCTCACCTCTTTCCTTTCATTCTTTCTCTTATCTCTGAAAAAAGGAAGGAAAACCGCTGTTTGGAGACAAGGTAGAAGCAATATTTTGTCCTCATTTTCAGTTAAGAGATTAAAAAAGTTCAAAAGTTTTACCCAGAAAAAGTCCACATGAAAAGTACCTGTCATTTTCTGATTAGCACTGTGATACTATTGATCAAAAGTATCCAGCCAACAAACCTGTGTAAATTAAACATGCTTGTGCACTGTATGGAGCCAGCATTTCTTGGCAACTACAAAAGAAATGCTTTTTCTTTTTTAATTCAGAGAGCTTTACAAAGCTTATGCAAGTGGCCTTAGAGCTTGGGTTTCTTTTTATCTCACAAATATCAAAAAAGAGAGGTTCCCCACCCCCTCAGCCTTCTCTTGCTAAAGGACTTCTCGGAGGACCAACAAAATCAAATTAGTTTTGTAGGCTGCACTTAGAAGATAGAGGAGAATGCAGATCTTTAACAAATTGAGCTTTTTTCCCATGTGTTTCTCAGGAGTTTTGATTCAATCAATCTCAGAAGAGTTCTTACACAGTTTGAATAAAAATTCTTTTAAAATCCATTTTTAAACCTTTCTCCCTTCCTCCATTTTTAATTCCTCTCAGTAGCTCAGAATTCCTTTCTGTTTTGAGGCATGAAATCCCTTTAGCTCTATTACCTACACAGCAAAGAATCTATCAAGCAAGAGAGAATCCTGTGCTATTGTGTTTGGTTTCTAAGATGGATACACAAACTGCCCCGGCTGTAGGCTCCTGGAAAGCTGTCACCAAACAAATGTTGCCATTAAAGTGTTGGTAGGATGACCCTTAGGAAATGCAAAGAGAAAACTCTTTTTTTTTTTTTTCTTTTTTTTTGTGGGGGGGTTGTTGCGTAGGAAAACCGACTAATAACTAAATCTGGAAGTACAGCTGGGTGCTCTTAAATTAGAAATCTTTAGGAGGTCTCCCACACATCCCTGCAAGTTTGCTAAAGAGTTGTGCATTGCTGCAGATATGTTTCACCTCCTCCAGCTTTTCTGTTTCTTGCTAAGCTTCTCCATGGCTTTAAGCCTCTCTCAGTTAACTCCCCAATGTCTCTCTGGCCAGGGTCTCACTTCTCCATCTCTCCTCCCAATTCTCTTAGTTCCTTGGTATGCTTTCAGTCCTGTATCTCAGCTGCTCATGAGGACAGA